CTTTTTTATTTAGTTTTGGAAGATTATATTTTTCTAGAAATTTGTCCATTCATTTCACCTAGGTTTTCAAATTTCTTGGCATACAGTTCTTCATAGTAATTTCTTACAATCCTTTGTATTTCTGTGGTGTCAGTTGTAATCTCTCCTCTTTCATTTCTGATTGTGTTTATTTGAATCCTTTCTCTTTTTTTCTTGATGAGCCTGCTTAAAGGCTTGTCAATTTTGTTTATCTTTTCAAAGGATCAGCTCCTGGATTCAGTGATCCTTAAAACTGTGCTTTTAGACTCTATGTCATTTACTTGTGCTCTGATCTTGGTTATTTCTTTCCTTCTGCTTGCTCTGGGCTGTCTTTTTGTTGTTTTTCCTTGAGTTCTTGTAGACATAGGGTTGGGTTGTTTGTTTGAAATGTTTCTATCTTTTTTAGGTAGGCCTGTATAACTATGAACTTCCCTCTCAGGATTGCCTTGGCTGTGTCCCATAAATTTTGGGTTGTTGTGGGTTCATTTTTTTTTGTTTCCAGAAACTTTTTGATTTCTTCCCTTATTTCAATTTTGATCCATTCATGGTTTAGTAGCATGCTATTGAATCTCCATGTTTTTGAGTGTTTTGGGTTTTTCCCTTTGGGGTTGGTTTCTAGTTTCAGTCCCTTAGGGTCAGAGAAAATGCTTAGTATGATTTCAATTTTCTTAAATTTGTTGAGGCTTGCTTTGTGTCCTATCATGTGGTCTATCTTTGAAAACATTCCATGTGCATTTGAAAAGAATGTGTATTTTGCTTCTTTGGCATGAAGGGCTCTGTATATACCAGTTAAGTCCATTTCCTCTAGGGCATTGTTCAATGCCACATTATCTTTGTTAATATTTTGTTTAGAAGATCTGTCCATTTTTGACATGGGGTGTTAAAATCCCCTACTATAATTGTGTTGCTGTCAATATCTTTTTTGAAGTCCTCTAAGATTTTCTTTATGTATTTGGGTACTCCTATGTTGGGTGCATATATATTTACAATGTTTATGTCTTCTTAGTGTATTCTTCCCTTGAGTATTATGAAGTGACCTTCTGGGTCTCTTTTTATGGCCCTTTTTTTTTTGGAAGTTTATTTTGTCTGATATGAGTATTGCTACCCTGGCTTTTTTTCCTGTCCATTTGCTTGGAAAATTTGTTTCCAGCCCTTCACTTTTAGTCTGTGTAGATCTTTTGTCCTGAGGTGGGTCTCTTGTAGGCAACATATGTGTGAGTTATGTTTTCTTATGCATTCAGCTATTCTATGTCTTTGATTAGAGCATTTAATCCACTTACGTTTAAGGTTATTACTGATAGGTACTTATTCATTGCCATTTTCGTACCTGTGTTCCTCTCTCTCTCTCTCTCTCTCTCTCTCTCTCTTCCCTCTTTTCCTTAAAGTAGACCCTTTAGCATCTCTTACAGAGCTGGTTTGGTGGAGGTGTATTCTTTTAGACTTCTTTTGTCTGGGAAGCTTCTTATTTGGCCTTCTATCTTGATTGAGAGCCTTGCTGGGTAAAGTAGCCTTGGTTGCAGAGCTCTGGTTCTCATTACTTGGAATATCTCTTGCCAGTCTCTTCTGGCTTGGAGTGTTTCCATTGAGAAGTCAGCTGCTAATCTTATTGGGGCTCCCTTGTATGTTGCTTCCTGTTTCTCCCTTGCTCCCTTGCTGCCTTTAAGAGAGAATATTCTCTTTGTCTTGAAATTTTGCCATTTTAATTATGATGTGTCTTGAGGTAGGCCTCTTTGGGTTCCTCTTGATTGGAACTCCCTGTGATTCCTGGATTTGTGTGACCTTTTCTCTCATCAAATTAGGGAAGTTTTCCATCATTACTTTTTCAAATAGGTTTTCTATCCCTTGCTCTTCTTCTTCTCCTTCTGGTATCCCTATTATACAGATATTATTACATTTCATATTGTCTTGCATTTCTCTTAATCCCTCTTCATTCTTTTTGAGCCTCTTTTCCTTTTGTTGCTTCTTCTGTGTGATTTCTTCTACTTTGTCCTCTAGCACAGTGATCTGATCTTCTGCTTCATCAATCCTGCTTTTCATTACTTCTACTGTGTTCTTCAGTTCAGAAATTGTATTCTTCATTTCCTCTTGGCCCTTGTTGAGAGTTTCTATTTCCTTTTTCATGTTGATGTAGTTTGCAGTGAGTTCACTGTAGCTTCCCTGTAGTTTCTGGTAGCTCATTGTGAGCTCATTGAGCTTCCTGACAATCATTGCTTTGAACTCAATATCTGATAGTTGAATTGCCTCTATTTCATTTAGCATTCTTTCTGAGGCTTCCTCCTTTCCTTTCATTTGGGGATTGTTTCTTTGTCTTCCCATTGTTTGTGAGACTCTTCTTGTTAGCCTCAGCTTCTTAAATTGATCTGTTCTATCTCCCTGGGTTTGTGGTGTGAACTTCTGTGGTAGAATAGCAGTGAGTTTCAGTGGTGCAGTTTTCTTGATCTCCCAAGCTCACTGGTCTTGGGCTGTCATTTAAGTTGGCTCTGTGTTTGTCTTTGGGTTTTGATTGCTGTTGGGTGTTTCTTTGGTGGTTCCTTCCCACCAGCTGGTTAAATGAGGGTCACTCTGTCCATCATCTCTTGTATTTTGTTGTGCTGGTGAGGGCAGGTTGTGTTGAAGCTGGTTCTTCTGTGTGTATAAGGTTTAAAGAGTTCTCTCTTGCTCTTGTTCAGTTGTTTGTATTGGGTACTGTCTCTACTGTTTAGTTGTATTTCCAGATAGGTCCTAGATTTGAGGTTTGTGTGGTTTCCACTCCCTCCTTCACCTTCTTCTGTTGTTATCTGTTAGTGGTTCCTTGGTTGTTGGGTTTCCTCTTCCAGTGGTTATCCTGGTGTTCACCACTTCCATCTACTCTTTCTTGTGATCAATTGGAGGGGGAAGGCAAAATGGTTTAAGACAGCAAGGGAGTATTCTATGATATTGACATTAGCAGCCAGTAGAGAAAAGATAGGAGATCCTTTGACTATGTATAGTGTTAACCATGATTTTCCACCCAGCTAGCTGATTTTTAGGAAGGATGGAAAGAAGAGAAGGCTCTTGTTGGGGAAGGAAGGATTGTGAGTTGGACCTATAAAGCAGGGAGTTTGTGGGAGGTCAGATTCTGAGGTAAGGTGAGAGTAAAGGATAGTAAATAGGTGTAGTATGTGAGAGAATAGAGTTAACCACTACAGTAATAGAGTTCAGGAAACTTTGAAATGGGCTAAGATCTGGGAGGGGTGCTGTGAAGTATTACAATTGCATGAAACAGCAATTAGTTATAATAATATTAGAGCAACAATCATATGACATAATCTATGAGATCTAAGTAACAAGAATAGGGAGTACAGAACCTTGAGTAGTGTGCTAATGGGATACGTGTGAGTTAAAGGACAGTACATTAGCAATACACTATGAAAGAGATATCAGGGCAAAGCTGTCAGGTCATACAATATATCCAGCCTAGCAAAGCAGACTATACAAAAAGAAGAGGGATACAAAAATATTATTAAAAAAGATGTAAGAATACTGGAAAAAATAATAATACAAATATGCAATAACTTGCAGGTTCTCTGTAATAGCAGAGTGAAATTTGTCTCACTGTATCAGCTGTTGTGATGCCCCTTCTTTGGGTTCAACTCTGGTCTTTTCAGGAAAGAAAGGAGGAAGGAATAAAACACGTAAGCAGGAAAGAGAGGAAAAAGAAATTAAAAGAGAATAAAAATAATAAAAATTAAAAAATTAAGAATTTTTAAAAATCAGAATAAAATTAAAAAGTCTTTTGGTTTCAAAGTGGCCAAACCACTTTGGTTTTTCTGGTCTTGCTGTCTGCGGCAGGCTAAGGGGTGATTGGTATGGCTTTTCTTCCTCGGTTGGTGGCGTGCACTATCTGGGAAGCTATTGTGGCTTCTCAGCCATGTGCCCTGGGTGTGGGAATCAGGCCTTTCCCCAGGGTTACTGCTGTGGACTGGGGTGCAGGGATGTTCTCCCACGCTCCAGCGCGCCCACAAGCCCTCGGCCAGACTGTCTCACCCTTCCCGGTGCTATGGGGGTGCACAGGGTCCTCCACAGAAGCACACCTTCCATGCAACCTCAGGATCGCTGCCAGGCTGGGTGGCAGGGAGGCTGGAGCAATTGATCACTTTAGGAGAATTCCCCAAACAGTGTCTGTCTTTTCACTCCTTCCTCTTGAGAAATTCCTCCTATTCAAGTCTGCCACTTCATACAATGGCCTGGCTTCTCCCACAGCCCAACTCTCCAGCCAGACCAGTGACCATGGGGATCAGGGCCCGCTATGCAACCCAACCCCTCCAGTGTCCACAGCCTCCAAGGGTGCTCACAGCCCTTGTGTCTTGAGTCTTGAATATGATCTTCTAATCATCCTCTCTCAGATTTTTTATTATAAAATGAAGAACATATTATAACATATTATATGAAGAACATATATTACATATATTTTAATAGTCTTACTTATTGATTTATAAACAAACATTTTAAATGATCTGAATCTGTAGAACACCTTTGTGAACTTCTAAATGTTCACACATGTAAGTTTAAAATGCTGGTATAAATCAAGGAATAAATAGGATTTGATATAAGGAAACTTGTCAAATTTGTGGCCACATGTTTGAAGTGCATAGGATTGAATGACATTATACATAATACATTAAACTTACCTCAATTCATCTTTTATTTCATCTTCAATTTTTTATCCCTTTTTCTTTTGTTTCAGTTTTCTTATTTTACTGTTGTCATGTATTTTTACATATTTCCTCAGTTTCTCTTTGGAATGAGGCAGATTTAATTGGTAAATGTTTATATTGAAGTAGCTTATTTGCCAATTTTTAAAAAGGTAGGTAGCCTATATTCAGGATCTAGAAAAACTGATATTCTAAATAAAGTTGTATTATGTAGTATGATTTTACTTTATTGTATTAACATTGAACTTTATTTGGAACAATTTAAAATTAATGTTAGAATTACAAAATGATTATTCTAATATTTTCCAGCTGCTAATCGGTTATGAAAATGGTACTGTGGTATTCTGGGACTTGAAATCTAAAAGAGCTGAACTGAGAGTTTATTATGATGAGGTAAGTGACTTCTGCTGAAATGTTTGAAACAGTGTTGTGACTTCGTATCTGTTTTGTTTTTTTTTTACTTTTAATCTTTGTATGTTACCAATATTCTTATCATTTGAACATGCCTGGTTCTAATTCAGTGACTCACAATGCCTGTTAATCCTTGCACCAGTTCCACCTCTGGGTTGTTTTCCTGAGTGGGAATTCTGCCTTGACTGCCCATTTTGGGGCCCTTTATGACATCTTACATACTGTGGTGCCTGTTACCTATATTGTATAGCCACCTTCACCTGAACTTCTTTTCCTTTTCTTTAGGCTCTGTGCTTTTGCCTTGACTTGTTGTCCTTAGGGTCTCTAAAGACACTATTCACACTTTCCTAAGAAAAATATTTTTTTTAATGACATAAAGTTTAACTGGTCAAGTTGAACAGCCTTATCTTCTAATACTTGCTGCCCTAGAATAAAGAGAAATTTTGTAAATAGTAATACTTAATAATAAAAGTCAGTAAGATCTTGAAGTTTATTTTACATAGTTGAGACTAGTAAGCATTTCGTTCAGAGAAAGCAATGAACTCCTATTTGCCAAGGAGTAGTCTCTGAGTTGATACTCCAGGTGTTCAGAGATTGATATGGCCCCCACCAGGAAAGGCTAAGCTGTAAACAGTGAGGCTGGAAACAAAAGGTGAGAAAGGGGAACTGCCTCCTATAGCTGTGAAAATAAAGGTAATCAATTAAATTTTTAAAATGGTAGAATGGAACTCTGGCTGGTGTGGCTTAGTTGATTAGAGCATCATACCGTAGACCAAAAGGTTGCAGGTACAATTTCTGGTCAGGGCATATGCCTGGGTTGCAGGTTTGTCCCCAGTTGAGGTGTATTAGAGAGGCAACTGATTGATGTGTCTCTCTCACATTGATATTTCTCTCCCTCTTTCTCTCTCCCTCCCTTTTCCTCTCTCTAAAACCAATAAGCATGTCTTTGGGTTAGTAATAAACAAATAAATAGATAAAAATAGTATAGTGGGGAAAGATATGAAGAATAAATAGGTCAAAAATCACTGGCTGATATCATCCATGCTTATATTGGAAAAGTATGGAAGAATGTAAGGTAACACTAATAGAAATAGAAAAATAAACATTAAAAACACAATTTTCCTGGCTGGCATAGTTCAGTGGATTGAGCACGGGCTGCGTACCAAAGCATTGCAGGTTCAATTCCCAGTCAGGGCATGTGCCTGGTTTGCAGGCCACAGCCCCCAGCAACCACACATTGATGTTTCTCTCTCTCTCTCTCCCTCCCTTCCCTCTCTAAAAATAAATGGATAGAATCTTAAAAAAATTTCTTAAAAAAATGCAATTTTACAATACTTTCTTTGTTACTCCCTCCCATCTCCACTGAACAGTTAAATTTTTAAGTTTTAATGCTTAAAGATAGCTGAAGGTGTATGGGTAATATGCTTATGATTGGTGAAAAATACTCTGGCAAGTGATATACCAATATGCTCTTTATGATCAACTTAGAGGCAACTTAAATCATAAGAAAAGATAATTCCTTTTGTTAAATATACAAAATATAGAGATGTGGTTGAAGACTGCTCTCTCTCTCAAGACTAGCATAGCAGCTAGATGAGAGTCCAAATACCACCTGGGAATTTAGTCATTTGAAACTAGAGTAGGGCAGCTAAAAAGGAAATCCAGAGAAAGATGCTGAATCAGATAGTTTTCCAATGGCTTTAAACAGAAATGTTTAAATAAGGATTAACCATGGATAAGTGTCAATGGAATACTTCCTTATACCTACATTATATGTAAAAATCATTTTAAATAGTGATTTATATATATATATATATATATATATATATATATATGTATGTATGTATGTGTGTGTGTGTGTGTGTGTGTGTGTGTGTGTGTGTGTGTATCTCCTGTGGCATTTTACCTTTTTTAAATATGTATTTTACTAACAAGATTAACATTTTAAGACATAGTAAGATCTGTAATTCTTTACCTCTAAACTTTCAAAGGGCTCCCAATTTGTCAACAATACAGTCTATTTCTTGATATAAGGTTCAAGGCCCAAGTGCCATTTTTTCCCTTTAGTTTAATTTACCACATCCTTCTAATACTCTTCACATTTTGGATACATTACTGTCTCCTATGCATATCATTTATTAGCATCTCCAAATATTTGCCCCTATTAATTTCTTATCCTGAATTCCCCTTTCCTCTTCTGAATATCATATCAAAATCTTATTAATTCTTTAGCCATTTTAAAACTACTTGGACTAGCTAACTAGTACCTTGATTAAGAGCCATTAATGAATTGAAGGGCATTTTTTGTCAATCCAAGCTTATTTTCAGAAATAACTGTGTGAATTTTACATCCCCATTAGCTGTGAAAATTTAATTTTATTACATTAATATTTCCAGATTATTTCTCACAGAGAAATCCCTCAGAGTTTGACATGAAGCTAACCTTTTAATTCGTTGAGCAACTGCTTTTTCTCCTTTTTCATATTGTTACCCAGCTCTTCAAGTTTTTCCTTTTTGTTCAAGAAATTGAATTGTGGCCACTGAGCTGACATTACATAGTATTTAACTTCCATATTCTGTTTTCTATCTTTTAAAATTCTTTTTGAATTAGCTGTATTATATTTTGCTTGTCAGTAGACCTGTGAAGTTGTTTTAAAGAGTAGGGTATACACAAATAAGTAGAAATTGAATATTTATTCATTAAGTCAGTTCAAATGACAGGTCTTTAATAATGCACTATTTGAAATTCTCCTGTCTAATAACAAGTTGGTTGCATATGCATACTCTTCTGTAAAATAAGTATATTACTCCTTTTATAGTACTTACTTGTTTTGGTTTTGTGTTGTAGCTATTACTTCATTATCTCTCCTCTCCAGTGAGTAGAAATTCACTGGAGAGAAAGAAGAGCTGGGACTGGGGACAGTTTCTCTGCCCCTACCATATTCAGAAAAGCAATCTGAGAGAGCCTTAAGTTAATTGACATTCATCCAAGTTAACATGTATAAGTGTTATATGTGAACATGTAAATTGACATGATGGATGACTATACATAGAAAACCCTACAGACACCACCAAAAAACTACTAAACCTAATATGTGAATTTGGCAAAACAAGCAGATACAAGCAGATTCAGAAATCAAAGGCATTTTTGTACACTAACAATGGAATATCAGAAACAGAAATCAGGAAAAAATACTATTTGATACAGCAACAAGGAAAATAAAGTACATGGAAATAAACCTAACCAAGGAGGTAAAAGACCTGTACTCAGAAACTGTACAACACTGAAGAAATAAATTAAGGAAGACACCAGTAAATAGAAGCATATACTGTTTTTATGGATTGGAAGAATTAACATCATTAAAATGTCCATACTACCCAAAACAATTTATAGATTCAATGCAATCCCTATTAAAATACCAATACCATATTTCACAGGTATAGAACAAACATTTCAAAAATTTACGTGGAATCATAACTGACCCCAATAGCTGCATCAATTTTGAGAAAGAAGAACAAAGTAGAAGGGATCACAATACCTGATGTCAAACTATATGATGGGGCCACGGTAATTAAAACAGTCAAGTACTGGCATAAGAACAGACACATAGATCAATGAAACAGAATGGAGAGCCTAGAAATAAACCCAAGCCTCTGTGGTCAATTAATATTTGACAAAGGAGGCTGAAGTGTAAAATGGAGTAAAAATAGTCTCTTCAACAAATGGTTTTGGGAGAGCTGGACAGCGACATGCAAAAAAAAAAGTGAAACTTGATCACCAACTTACACTATATACACAAAAAGCTTAAGATAGATAAAAGACTTAAATATAAGTTGTGACACCATAAAAATCCTCGAGGAGAACATATGGAGGAAATGTTAGATATTCCACACAGTAATATTTTCATCAATATGTGCCCTAGAGCAAGGGACATAAAGGAAAGAATAAACAAATGGGACTTCATCAACATAAAATCTGCACAGCTAAAGTAAACATCAGCAAAATTAAAAGGGAACCAACTATATAGGAAACCATATTTGCAAATGACACCTCAAACAAGGGTTTGATCTCCAAAATATATAAAGAACTCACACAACTCCACTCCAGGAAGACAAACAACCCAATTAAAAAATGGGCAAAGGACCTGAACAGATAATTCTCCAAGGAGGACACACAGAGGGCCCAGAGATATATAAAAGGATGCTCAGGATCACTATCCATCAGAGAGATGCAAATTAAAACTACAATAGATACCACTTCACACCAGTCAGAATGACCATCATAAACAAATAAACAATAAGGGCTGGTGAGGGTGTAGAGAAAAGGGAACCCTAGTGCACTGTGGTGGGAATGCAGACTGGTTCGGCATTGTGGAAAACAGTCTGGAATTTCCTCAGAAAACTAAAAATGGAACTGCCTTTTGACTCAGCAATTCCACTGCTGGGATTATACCCTAAGAATCCTGAATCACCAATTCAAAAGAACCTGTGCACCCCAATGTTCACAGCAGCATTATTTACAATAGTCAAGTGCTGGAAGCAACCTAAGTGCCCATCAGTAAATGAGTGGATCAAAAAACCATGGTACTGTGGTACATTTTCACAATGGAATACTATGCAGCAGAAAGAAAGGAGCTCCTACCCTTTGTGACACCATGGATGGATCTGGAGAGCATTATGCTAAGTGAAATACGCCAGGCAGTGAGGGTGAATACCATATGATCTCACCTATAAGTAGAACCTAATCAATAAACAAATAAGCAAGCAAAATATAACCAGAAACATTGAAATTAAGAACAGTATGACAGTAACCAAAGGGGAGATGGGAAGGGATAATGGAAGGAAGAAAGGAAAGGGTTTTCAGGAACAACTATAATGGACCCATGGACAAAACCAAGGATGTGTGAAAGCAAGGGAGGGAGGTGGGGATGGCTGGGATGGGTGGGGGAGTGGTGGTGGGGTAAATGCAGACAACTGTAATTGAACACCAGTAAAATACTAATAAAAATGGCACATTTACACAAGGGAATACTATGCAACAGAAAGAAGGCAAAAACCAAAGAAAGAAGGAGCTCCTACCCTTCATGACAGCATGGATGGATCTGGAGAGCATTATGCTAAGTGAAATAAGCCAGTTGGTAAAAGACAAATACCATATGATCTCACCTATATGTGGAACCTAATCAAGGCAATCAAGCAAGCAAAATACAACCAGAGACATTGAAATTAAGAACAAACTGACAGTAACCAGAAGGGAGGGAATAACAGAAAAAGGGGAAGTGTATGTCATCAATGAACATGTATAAAGGACATATGTACAAAGCCAAAGGTTTGGGAGGTGGGGATGGCTGGGGTCGGGGTGAGTGGTGAGGGTAAAATGGAGACAAGTGTACTTGAACAATAATTTAAAAAAGAGAGAAAAGAAAAGAGTGGAGTTGTGTTTTTGTTTCCCTCTAACTGCCTCCTCTGAACCTTGGCAAAAGAGAAGTGTTCTCTGCCTAGTAATAAAGACCAGGGTGAGGGAAAAACATAAGTCCAAGGTTTCATGTTAACTTTTTCACTTAATCAAATCTTATTTATCTTTTTATATAGAGATTATATCCTATTTTCTTTGTGGCATGTCTAATAATTACCCTAGGTGTCAATTATCTTTAACTTTAACCAATACTTATTGTTTGGAAGTTAATTTATATCAGTCTTTCCTATCTCACTGTTTTCTGAAATTTTTTTAAGGAAAGGATCATGTTGTATATATCTATTCAGCTTTTATGTCTACTAGAGCAGTGGTCCCCAACCTTTTTGGCACCAGGCACCAGTTTTGTAGAAGACAATTTTTCCACAGACAGGGCCATGGTGGAGAGACTGGAGGCAAGAGCTCAGGCAGTAATGAAAGCAAAGCTTCCCTCCCTTGTCTGAGGCTCACCTCCTGCTGCGAGGCCCACAAAGGTTTGGGAAGTCGGGGACCCTTGTACCAGAGCACTTACTTGATACAAGACACTATGCTACCACTAGGAATAAATTTAAGAAACTGGAACAATACTTTTTAACTTTATCTAATTCACAATTACAGAGTGAACCTGTACAAAAACAAAACAAAAAAAAACACCAAAACTCATTGCTTCACATCAATTTAAATTGTTTATAATACAGTGATGGAGAATACAGATTTTGGTTAGGTAGAACTTGGCTTTGAGTTGTATGTCCTGATAAAGTATCTCAATCTCTCTATGCCAATTTTGCCATGTGTAAATTGGAAAAAATAATAACTGTTTTATAGAATTAATGAAATAATGTATGTAAATTGCTTACCATTGGTCTGGCATATTGTAAGACCTCTGATGATGGCTCTTATGTAAATTAGCTTTTATTAGCTACTTAAAGTGGAGCTAGGCCATTACCTTGTCAGAAATTATCTTCTGATAACCTTGCTTTTACTTCTATGTAAATAATGTTTCAAAGAAGGGTTATATGATACAGGGAGGATAGTGAATTTACAACAAAAAGTTCTGGGATCTAATGATGTCGACATTTTACTTAACTTTTCTTTATTTCAGGAATTGAGTTTTTGTAGCCTTTTATAAGCCCATAGAGGATGAACCAAAGATAGTGTGATATGGGTCAGAAAAATTACATATGTTTATGCCAGAGTATTTTATTTTTGAATATAGTTATCTCAAACTATTAACTCCCCCTACTTGTTTTTAATTGTTATTTCATTAGGCTATTCATTCAATTGATTGGCATCATGAGGGCAAACAGTTCATGTGCAGCCATTCAGATGGAAGCTTGACTTTATGGAACCTGAAAAACCCAAGTCGTCCTTTCCAGACCACAGTTCCACATGGTAAGATGTATTCTTTCAAAAGAAATAAGCTGTAGAGTTACAGTGCCTTGGTTTAAAGTATACAAGGTGGTTTCAACATGTTTGGTAGAAAGAGGAGATAGTACATAGTTTCTGATTCTAAATACTTCTTTTATACCTCCTTCAGATCCACCTCAATGCCCCAAACTTCCTGTCTATCCACTTTCCTACTTTCTAAGTGATATTTATATAGACCTTCCCAACCAAAACTTAGATAATGGATAGTTGGTGTATCTAAAACAGAGGAGATAACAAAGGATATTTGGCCAGTTTTAAGTATTAAGGCACTAGTGAGAGAATGGCTTTACCTAGATCTGACTTTCAGATCTAATTCTTATACTGCTTTATAGTCTGTTCTTTTCTAGTTTTCCCATGTATTTCCATTTCTGCCATTTGGTTCCACTAAATTATGAGGACTGTGGTACTATTATAGGTTGTATTTATCTTATCTTCCTCATTGTATAGATGTATTTAGCATTCATGTTGGACCTGTCTACCTAATTGGGCAGAATAAAAAGTTCAAATGTGTAAATATTTTTTATTCAAATGTCCACATTATTTCCAAGAATATTGGTGATGATCTGAATTCCATGTTTATCTCAAACTGTTATTTCTTCATATAGAGAGGTCGAAACCTACATTCTATTTTTATAGTTTCTGAGTATTTATTATAATGTAACATTTAGAAAATAGTATTTTTTATAATGGGTGTGTTATAAATCACAAGATGGAATTTAATCTTGTATTGGTCTGCCATTTTGTATACCACAGTTGCATGTTCCATTTGCAAATGATTAATACAATTAACATAAGTTGCTTTACTTAGAGATTATTTTACATTTAGACACTTACTTGAGATGCTTTATTTAAAGATTGCTGTTATGGAAACCTTGGATAGGTGTTTGCTATACATCTACTCAGGTTTAATTTGTTTCTATGGTGGGTTTCCCACCCCTCCAAGCCCCTTCCCCTCAATCCTTATAACTTTTATTTGCAAATGTGTAATATGATTTATTAATAATTTTTTTATTCTGTTCTTCTCAACAGTCAACTTCTATATAAGGTTTTTTTGGGCTTGTTGGATAATTGATACTTTCATATGTCTTGCCATTTTATCAGTTTGGGTGATCTACAATTCTGTGAGATGAAGTACTGTTCACAGGTTGTTGAAAACATCAGCATCTGTGTCTCTTGTAACATATCAATTAAATTAAATTCCTGCTGCTTTGCCATGACACAGTTAAGCCAGTGTCCATGATTTTGATAACAGAGGCATTCATTGTTATATCTACCTATATTCTTTGGAATAATTTTGTTTTGTTTCAGCTATTTTTATTTTCTAAAATGAAAAAATTTTCTCTAAGTACCACTTTAGCTGCATCCTATAAATGTTTGTATGTGATTTCATTAATAGTATGTAATTTTGTTAGTATTCAATCTGAGGCATTTTCTTATCCCTATTATAATTCTCCTTTTTTACCTATGTATTAGATATGTGATTTCTAACTTCTAAAAATGTTTTAATGTATATTTTAAAATTGTAGTCAGAGAGTATAGCATGTACTAGTCCTACAAAATTTACTGAGATATGCTTTATAATTAGACATACACAATTAACTACTATGAAGTTCCGAGTGTACTTGAGAAGAATGTGCATTTGCTGTTACTCAGAGGTCAAACTCAAAATTGTGATTTTTACTTTGTACTGACTAAATCTTTACTTAAGTTTTTGTTGTTTGATTTTTCAATTCTGAGAGAGGTGAGTTAATATCTCTAGCATTATGAAGTTTTCCTTGTAATTATGTTTATTTCTGTTTTATAAACTTTAAAACTGAAATAAATAGATCAAGGTGGTTGATAGCATTAATCAGATCATCTATTATTTTACTTATATTTGACTAGTGCTACCAATACCTGAGAGAGTGGTACTAAATTTCCTAAGAAGATCATGGAATTATCTACTTTTTACTTTAATTCTGCCCTTGTTTGTTTTATATATTTTGAGGCTTTATTGTTAGGCATTCATTTTATGTACTGTAGAGAGCATATAGTTGGGTCTTGCTTTTTTAACCAGTCTTATATCATTTAGTTGGAGTGTTTAGTTCATTAATATTAAATTTAGTGGTTGTTCAGATTAGATATACCAATTTATTTTTATTTTTAATTGGTCCTATCATTTTCATTACTGTTTTCTCCCCCTTTGCTTTCCTTTAGATTATTTTAATGTTTTTATTAGAATTCTGTTTCAATTGACATATAAGCACTTTATCCTCACATATTTTTTACTTAGTTGCCCTAGGGATTACAATGTACTTTCTTAGTTTTTCACAGTCTGTTAGAGTTGTTATACTCTACATAAAATGTAGAAATCTCACAATGATATAGATTTGTTTACCTTCACCCACTATCCTTTATGCAATAGTTTAATGTAGTATACCTAAAGACATTGTTATAATTTTTGCTTTCAGTAGCCTTAAGTATTTTTAATTAAGAGAAAATTTTTGTATTTTTCTCTTATTATTTTCAGTGCTTTTTATTTATTCCTGAAGATAGAAAATGATTTAGCATTTCTTATAGTGAAAATTAATTTATATATCTCTTCTTTGTCTAAAAATTCCCTTTTGTGGTTCCATTCTTGAAGGACATTTTTTACTGAATATTGATTTCTAGGTTGATTCGCTATGTTGTTTTCAAGGTGTTTAAACTGTTGTTCCACTTTCTCCTGTCTTTCATGGTTTCCAAAGAAATGTGTAGTGTTTTCCTTTGGTTCCTCTCTGTATAATGTATCAGTTTTTTTCTCTGGCTATTTATTTTTTCTGTATCTTTTATATTCAACAATTTGACTATAATGTATGTAGGCTTATTGCAAGTTTATTTAAGTAGGGTTCTAGAGAAGGATAAGAGTTAAGTCTTTCTTAAATGTTTGTAAAATTATCCTGTTAAACCATCTGGTTCAGGGCTTTTGTCTGCCAGTAGGTTTTTGATTACTGCTTCAATTTCACTAGCTATTATTGGTCTTTTCAGGTTTCTGCTGCTTCTTCATTCAGTTTTGGGAGATTATATTTTTCTAGAAATTTTTCCATTTCACTCAGGTTTTCAAACTTCTTGCTGTACATAGTAATTTCTTACAATCCTTTGTATTTCTGTAGTATCTGTTGTAATTTCTCCTCTTGCATTTTTTATTTTATTTATTTGGGTCCACTCTTTTTTTCTTAATGAGTCTGCTTAACGTCTTGTAAATTTTGTTTATGTTTTCACTGAACCAGCTCCTGGATTTATTGATCCTTTGGATTGTTCTTTTATCTCTATGCTATTTAATTCTGCTCTGATCTTGGTTATTTCCTTCCTTCTACTCACTCTAGGTTTTGTTTGTTGTTGCTACTCCAGTTCTTACACATTTAGGATTAGATTGTTTATTTGAAATGTTTCTATCTTTTTTAGGTAGGCCTGTATCGCTATGAAATTCTGTCTCAAGACTGCCTTTGCTGTGTCCCATAAGTTTTGGACTGTTGTATGTTCATTTTCATTTGTTTTCAGAAGCTTTTTGACTTCTTCTTTGATCTCATTATTAACCCATTCATTGTTTAGTAGTATGCTTGACAATCTCCATGAATTTGAATGTTTTTGAGTTTTTCCTTGAGGTTGGTTTCTCATTTCAGGTCCTGGTGGTCTGAGAAAATGCTTTATAAGATTTCAGTTTTCTTTACTTTTATGAGGCTTGTTTTGTGTTCTGTCATGTAGTCTATCTTTGAAACTGGTCCATGTGCATTTTGAAAGAATGTGTATTTTGCTTCTTTGGATGAAAGGTTCTATATACCAGTTAAGTACATTGGATCTAGGGCATTGTTCAACACTGCAATATCTTTGTTGATATTTTGTTTGGAAGATCTATCCATTTTTGACAGTGGGGTGTTAAAATCCCCTGTGTATGTGTGTTGCTATCTATATCTTTCTTGAATTCCTCCAACATTTTCCTTATAGGGATTAGGATGCTCCAATAGGTGCTCCTATGTTGGGTGCAGTAATGTTTACAATGTTTATGTCCTCTTGATAGATTCTTCCCTTGAGTATTATGAAGTGTCCTTCAATGTCTCTTTTTATGGCCCTTGTTTTGAAGTCTATTTTGTCTGATATAAATATTGCTACTCCAGCTTTTATTTCCTATCCATTGGCTTGGAATATTTTTTCCAACCCTTCACTTTCAGTCTGTGTAAGTCTTTTTTTCTGAGTAGGTTTCTTGTAGGTAGCATGTGTGCAGGTCATGTTTTCTTATCCATTCAGTTACCCTATGACTGTTGATTGGAGCATAATGATAATCCATTATCATTTAAGGTTATTATTGTTAGGTTATTGTATTGTTACTTATTCTTTTTTCCTTCTTTGTACCTGTGTTTCTCTCTCCCTCACTCTTGTTCTTCCTCTTATAGCAGTCCCTTTAGTGTACCTTGCAGTGCTGGTTTGGTGAAGGTATATTCTTTCTGACTTCTCTTGCCAGCAAAACTCCTTATTTGACCTTCCATTTTAACGAGAGTCTCACTGGGTAGAGTAGTCTTGGTTGTAGGCCTTTGCTTTTTATTACTTGGAAAATGCCTTGCCAGTCCCTTCTGGGTTGTAGTGTTTCTGTTGTTAAGTCAGCTGCTAGCCTTATGGGAGCTTCCTTATATGTTATTTCTTGTTTTGCTTTTGCTGTTTTTAAGATTCTCTCTTTGTCCTAAAATTTGACATTTTAATTATGATATGTCTTGGAGTAGGCCTCTTTGGGTTTGTCTTGATTGGGATCCTCTGTGCTTCCTGAATTTGCATGGTTTTTCCTCTCTCCTGGTTCAGAAAGTTTGCTGTCATTATTTTTTTCAAATAGGGGCTCTATCCCTTGCTCCTTTTCTTCTCCTTTTGGTATTCCTGTGATTTGAATGTCATTACATTTCTTGTTGTCTTGAAGTTCTCTTAAGCTGTCTTCACATTTTTTTAGTCTTTTTTCATGC